TCCCAAATAACTTTTCGGCACACAATATTCATGCGTTTTTATAGATGATATTTAGAAGATATTCTAGTTGTGAATGCATTTTATCTCGCCGTGGCAAATCATATATGTAACTAAATTTGTCTGACAGGGACGGTGCCATCTGTGCAATTTTGAATATCGAAATTGTAGCGACGCTGTTTCATACAAGGTAGCTATGCTCACACGGGAAGAAATCGTGATAAAAAATCACTGATGCAATATTAAATTTTATGAAATGAAACGCTTTATTATGACAGTCAAAAGAAGCGTTACATTTTACATGAGTGTAATGATGTTTCCCTTTGTCTCGCTCTGCAATGACTCGCTATTCACCAACTCGTAACTCGCGAGTGAATTGCCATTCCCACACTCGTAACTTGTGAATGACGAGCCATTCACTCTGATTGATTCTTACTATTTATGACTATGTCTATGATTTTCAAAATTTTGGTTTTCACAAACAAGCGTAGCGTATCAGTAGGTGTGAGCTTTAAATCAAATTTTAACAACATCGCTATCCTATCAACAGAACTGACTGCATGAATATTGTATGGTATAAATTGAACTTACTGTAGTTTAAAAGATAAGTGCATGCATATACTTGTGCATGTAGTCTTGTAGACTTTATCTAAACGCTTGACATTAAAACACGTCATTTAAAATGTTTGCTTGTCAGTATTTTATGGTTAATCGGCCCCTATCATAACTTCATTGTAGAAGCTATTTGCGAAAATTTAAGCGCTGCATGCTACTAACGCATTGAACTTTGAATTAGATTTTCAACTTGTTATTTTGCCATGTTTGTCGAAGACCAAATATATTTCTTTTTCTTGGGCTTTTGTATTGGTCGGATAATGCGAGCTAAACGAATTTGAGTTGACTGTGTTTTCATTTATAGTATTCGGAACTTTCCGAAGAAACTCGAAGCTTCAAAGAGAAATAACACGAGTTTCAGAACGCATTCAAGAACGCGTTCCGCACGCGTTCAGGAAGGTGTTCCGAACGCGTCCAGGAAGGTGTTCCGAACGCGTCCAGAAAGGTGTTCCGAACGCGTTCTCGAAGGTGTTCCGAACGCGTTCTCGAAGGTGTTCCGAACGCGTCTTGGAACGCGTTCCGAACGCGTTCGCAGCATTAGGTTACTTCTGAGCAGTACTGATATAGTCTGTATAACTACGCTACGACATCTAAAAATAAAACCAATTTCATACATCTTAATAAGCTTTAAAAATGGAAGAATAAAATTGTATGCACGCTGAAATATATAGTGAATTATGTTCCAGATCATAATTTTGAGTGGGAGTATAAGGTTTAGCCTGCATACTACCTAATAGGTATTTTGGTGTTTCCGCTAAACACGAAGGTGTATCATATTCAAGTATATCTTCGTCTCGCACGCAAGCTGTTCAATCCAAGCCTCCAAAACAAAGATCGATTTATCTCATAACCTATAGTCAATGCGGTAATTCAGGTCTAAGTAGACAAGCATTTGCCCAGATAATACTCGATGCGTGGAATGACTCCTGTCTCTCAAAAATAATCCAGTGGGTAGTCAGTGAAGAAATGCATCAGGATGGTGAAAACAAGGTGGCTGGCCGTCCGGAATTTTCTTGACATGCGTCATGGAATCAAAGTGAACTTCTCAGATAAACACGATAATTACTTCAGCGCGTATAAATATGTAGTAAAATATGACGCAGATTATGTCCTGTCTGATAATCACCCTGATCTCACAAATGCCACTGCACCGCGAAAAACCAATGCGTCCCAAAAACCTAAGGGAACCGCTAAGAAGGCCGGAGCTGCTACTAAGAAAAAAAAGAAACGCATTGCAGTTTACGACGTCGTCCGGATAATCCAAACGAAAGGAATCAAGTCGCGGCTGGAACTAATGGCACTGGCAAACAAGTGGCAAGAACAGGGCAAGACGGATTTGGCAGAATTTGTGTCCAATCGAGGTCCGAGAGTTGTAAACGAAGCTCTAGAGACAGCACACGAACTAACCATGGCAGAAAAACGATTGGAGAGAATCAACAAAACTAGAATGCAATTGCTTCAAGAGCATTTGACACAACCGTGCCGAGACAATTGCGAGGGAATATGGCTACGTTCGGCAGCCGAGATATTGGAGGGGAACGGCATACCTGTTTCGATATTCGCTGGTGCTGTCTATGATGCCCTGCTGCAAGGAAGAGGCAAATATAGAAATATCTATATTTATGGCCCTGCTAACTGTGGAAAAACCTTTTTAATTTCGCCTTTGAAAACCATCTATGAGTGCTTTGTTAATCCTGCCTCAGGGAGTTTTGCGTGGGTTGGCGTAGACCAAGCGGAGGTGGTTTTACTTAATGATCTGAGATGGAAACCTACCCTTATACCATGGTGTGAGTTTTTGCAGGTTTTAGAGGGGATATCGTGCATTTTCCAGCCCCTAAAAATTTTGTGAGAAAAGATATTGTGTTGGACAAAGACACGCCATTTTTTGCGACTAGTGACGCCCCTCTTGCCTTAGTTAATGGGGGAAGTGTCGATCGAGTCAACACTGAAATGATGGAGGTCCGATGGCGTATGTTCAAATTACATCGCCAAATACGAAAAGAAGAGCAAAAACAGATGAAACCTTGTAGTTCTTGCTTTGCCAAACTTATTTCACAAAATGCTGAGTGTTAGCAAACAATAATATATTAACAGGATAAGACAATTAGCAGTGATTATATACTTGTCTGTCAACAAACCATTTACTGAACGAAGCTCACCAACGAATCTCAGTCTAAAATACGGTTTTGTCGCAGTTTTTAAAGAAATATAGTTTACATTTGTTCATTTTCTAACACTATGTATGTGTTAACAATATTCTATAGTCAAAAATGTTAAAAAAAATTAAAATTTTACATATAACTAACGAAGCTCACCCAAACATAGTAAATTAACTTGATATGTCTCTGCCCTTTCTATGGCGCAAGCGAGAATCGTTGGACAAAAATCATCTCTCACTTGTTTGTATCGTTCTCAATAGTTGTAAAATGAAGCATGCTGATATTATAGGCTTGATATCAATTATCCATAATGACTTTGCTAAATAAAAGTTTCTGGTAAGTCAGTTACAGCGTATATAAGATGCAATATAAGGTCTAGATTTAAGTGAGCTTCGTTGCCTAGTGAGCTCAGTGTCACGTGCCTAGCGAACAAACGTGCTAATATTTGGTTCTATAGCCCTTTCCGGCCATTACTGCGTCGATGCGTCTAGGCATACTCGTTATTAAGTTATTTATAAAATCTAAAGAAGTATCTAGCAGTGTTTTAGAAACTCTCTCCTTGAACTCCATCCATGTTTCATGATTGATTCCCTGCGCTCGAACTTGCATCTGTAGATTGCTTTTGACTATATGGAAAACATTTTCAATTGGATTGAGGTCGGGTGAACGAGCAGGTATACAAAAAAGCTGCGCAGCTTGATCCTTGATAGCTTTCAATGCCATGGTACTTGTTTGCGAAGGGTCGTTATCCATGATAAACATCTTTCTGCATTCTCGTCCATGAAATAGGACCGGGAAATTTCTGTTTACAAAATCACTGAAATATGCGCCATTCATCTTCGTATATTCCTCAACGAAAAACACTCCCCTGTTGTATGCAATTGCGACAAGTAAATGCAAGCGCTTTCCCCCTGCCAGATTTTTGGATCCTTTAGCCGTAATCTTTAAACCTTCGGCTCTTTTTCGCCACACTTTACCCTTTGGTGCTACGGCTTGCGCCATTGGTCTTGGCTTGTACACGAATGAAACACCGTCGAGATAAAAGGCAATAACCTCGTGGAAATACGTAGGCTCATTTTGTAGTATTTTCTTACATTCTCGTGCAAACTTCACTCGTTTAACGCGGTCCGATCGACTTACTAGTCCTTTCTTGCGCGCTTGTAGATACTGAAAACCTTCACTACGCAGCTCTCGATAAAATGTTCTGTACGAAATGCCGGATAAATGGAGTCCACTGTAAGCGACCAAAGATTTAATTGAAAAGCCAGGATTGTTTTCGCGCAATTTAAATAATGATCTCAATAAGTGCCGTCTATCTCGAGGTGACAATTTTTTGGGCCTTCCTCGTCTTTCCGCTGATAATGGTTGGTTTTTGCGGCTTTTATACTTAAAATACGACGAACAGTTGATTTCGAAACACCCGCCTTTTCCGCAATTTTTCGTAACGAATACTTTCCCTTCGCGCCAAGATAAACCACATGTCCACGCATCTGATCCGTAATGTTGGTATTGTAGACCATTTTTATTGAAATAATCAATTGGTATTCACTCACTGTAGCCGCAAGCGCGCGAGGATGCAATTTATAGCCGCATTGCGCTTACGTCATGCAATAAGTCTTTATCACATATAATCAGTCACGTCATCAAGGTTGGGCTTCTTAGTCACTGTGAAGTAAACGTAACTCGAGCAATACTTCTCTGCAATGATGTTCCTGTTTTTATTATTAGACAAGCGCAAACTTATGCAAATTACGTAACCTCGAAAAACAACCATTCTAAATATAGTAATGACGCCGTACAATATAGTAATGATGTACATATTACAAAACGGTTATACGCATTGATTACATCACGCCAAACGCCCAAACTACGGGCACTTGACTCTGTAATCGTAAAGTTAACTTCAGTTTTATAGAAGTGTAACTCACCGAGCATGATATAGACAATCTTTGCCAAAAACTATGAGACAAATAGTGAAAGTTCATATAACTTCTTCTGTCCATTTCCCCCCGCGCCCCCCGTTCAATGTTGATGTCACAAAAAATGGATACATCGCAAACGAGACGTCATCTGGCATCAACGCAACATTGAAAAGGGTGGGGAGAGGGAGGGATGAATATTCACGTGGAAAAGTTGTACAATGTCTATTTAACGTTTTTGAAACGACATTGTCCCATAGTATATTGTCAAAGATTGTAGATAGTTATGTAAACAAAAAGCCAGGACCAACAAGGCACTACTAATTGAATAAATATGTTGTTTCTATTGTAACACATCGATATTGACGTCTTTGGCCAGAATGCAGTATCTTAAAGGTTGGATAGAGGTATAATGGTAGGTACACATATCCATGATTTCGCATTTATACTGCAACTGTATACACATTATCGTTGTCCAATGGCACACATGAGATAGATAATGCCTCCATGCATGTAATTCAAAATAAGTAAGTTCTTGAAGAAAATTCCAGTACAGTTGTTATATTAAAGTGTATTCACTATTTCACTATCCACACATACTGTACTGTAATTTTGTGAACCAATCCATCGTTAGTAGAAACCACTGGTACTGTAGAAGTCTAAATTTGTTGTAGTACCATAGGTAATCATAGCATAGTTGTAGTCCCAAAGATTTCGGTGCTAGAGTTGGTGCATCAATATTCTTCGAGTTAATAGCATATATGGCAAAATAATAATCCATTTCTATAAAGTAATAATCCATTTCTTTAAAAGTAATGATCCATTTCTTTTGGAACGAACAGTTTGTTACAAATACTAGACTTTGTTCTAAACATCCAACAGTCTCTTTTCAGAGTATTTAAAACCTCGTTAAAAACCTATAAAATGAAAAAATGATTTGTTAGTAACCAAAACAATGACCTAAACCTATGCCCATACTCAAGTATCGTGGGACTTTGAAGGAGGCCAATAATTGTTTTGCAGAAAAATGTACTTCTTCACCTTGACAATCATCAAATTTCATACATGAACGGAGATAAAAACAACTTTAATTATAATACCACTATCTTTAACTTGTATAATATTACAGTAAGAAATGTGTACATGTACATAACAATACATACATCAGGGGCGGATTCAGACAGGTTTGACAGGTTTATATAAACCTGTCAGATTTTCCAAAGAGAGAAAAAACCTTCCATGTATATAACTAATTTAAAGAATATTCTGTTTCATAAAATTGATGTTGTCTAATCCATTACGCCACTTAAAGGAGCAGTGTCACCGTCTGCGCATCTCTTCTGCGCATAGCAAACTTGAAAAACTACAGGATGTAGTTTTTCAAGTTGATGATTCAAGATGGCGGCCATTTGCGAGGGAGTGCATTGCAAGAGAGGCAAAAATTTCGGCACATAGATGTACATACAAGGCAGATGAAACTCTCAAAATACTGGAATAGGCAGCACAAAAGCTTATACTGATTCCTGAATATATTTGAGGCAAAAAGCATGACAAATTGGGACGAAAATGGAGGCTTGATAAAGTTCACGAAGCGATATCAATTTCGCTGTACATTTGCTGTGGTTGGAATATCGTAAGAGGTAAAATAATTGAATTCATAAAGGTACCAAATCAATTTTAAAATATATAGCATAGGTGTATCGATTTCAGGCATTCGTAGCAACAACAGCGAATGACTTAGAGCCTCAGACAAATCATAGTCGAACTATAAACTTTACTGCAATCAGAAAGTGCTCTTTCTATGATTCTGGCGTGCATCTATAAAAATAGAGTACATCTATGGATATATCAGCATATAAACAGCAAAGACAGGCACAAAATGTTGAACGAAATATGCATGAACATACTTTGAATTGACATGCATGAAGACCAACCAAAAATATTTAATTGAATATTAGGAAATTTTTATAATTATGATTGTAAATAAATACATAATGGCCATTCCATTCCACAAGTTATGTTTTGTTAATAGGGAGTGTAACAGGGAAGCAAGCCTGTGTGGGATAGTTTATATGTAGTAGCCAATCAAAATGTCGCAGGATAAATTTAAATTTCATACAGACAATAACAATCTAATTATAGTTGTGATCACTATAAAATATATCAACAACAATAGTATAATCTAATTGGCACCAACCAATCAAATGGCAGATTAATAACAGTTGTAACAGCATGGACTTTTGTTAAGATTTGTATCAGGCCTATTAATTTATTGATAGGCCTGATCGCAGGTTAGGGATATCCAAGCTAGCTTGCCTTACAATGACAAGTTTCATGCACCTTTATATTATTTTTTATGTTTAATTGTTTAGCCTTGATATTATTACTTACTATCTAGGCAAAATGTTTAACCTACTCAGTAGGCAGGCTCACCTACATATACCCACCTGTTTTCATGGCAAAAGCAGGGTGGAATAATTTGGTTTACCAGAAAATATCATGCAACGACCAAGCGATGAGATGTCAGAGTGTCATAAGTGCTGACGTCAAGAATTTGAAAAGGCCGACCCATTGGAATATTGCCCTAAATAATAGCTGTATTACCCAATGACCACAAGGACACCAGGTTATTGTAGAAAGCAGCTTATGAACCATCCTCG